TTTTTTTAAGCCCAGAAAGACTTTATTTGTAGGAACCAGGATGCAGAGGCTCAATATAGAAGACACAGAGACAGCTGCTGGGAGAGGGGAACAGAGCTAAGCTGTAGGGCCTTTGCACTGCTGTGGAACCAACCTAGTTGGACAAAGCCCCTGCCCCTATAATGAATTAAAGGCTCAGAAAGGGGGAGCGCCTTGCTTAGATCAAGTAAGTTAGTGACAGCTCCTAGGGCAAAGGTGTTTCCTGGTCGCCTCTTCCCTTCCCCCAACCCTTTGGCTCTGGGAGGGAGGGACAGTGCCCCCAGGGGTCGGTGCGGGGCCAGGGGAGGCAGTGAAGGGGGTAGGAAGCCTGGCTGACTCCCGTCCCTCCCGCTCCAGGCCTGGCCTCCACTCAGGCACAGAGCGTGCCGGTCATCAACAGCATGGGCAGCAGCCTGACCACCCTGCAGCCAGTCCAGTTCTCCCAGCCACTGCACCCTTCCTACCAGCAGCCACTCATGCCCCCCATGCAGAGCCACGTGGCCCAGAGTCCCTTCATGGCCACCATGGCCCAGCTGCAGAGCCCCCACGGTGAGTACCCCTAGCCCCACGCTGTCCACGAGCACGGGGTGGGCGGGTGGAGGTATAGGGTGGCTTAGCAGCTGTTGTGGTCTGTGTGTGTGAGCGCTTCTGTGATGAGGTGGTCTGCAGGCCAGAATATGACTCAGTGTGTAAATATGCGTGGTGTTTCTGTGAGTGGGAAGGCACGTGGGCGTTCACGGGTGTTTGCAGGGGCACACCCACGTGAGAGGACACCACACGTCCTTTCTCTGCAACCCACGGGGCCACGTGTATTTCAGAATTCGCTACTTCTCAGACTTCACATATGGTGGATCCGCCGTATGTTTTATCACACTCCCAGCGGGGCTCGGGCAGTGTCTCGTCATCAAAGCCCTGGGATGTCTGCAGCAGGAGGCAGGAGGCCACGAAGGAGGTTAATAAAGACGGGGCACAACCTCACAGCGGGCTCGGGTGGGAGTTTGCCACCAAAAGCGCTCTAGTGCCGACCTTATGAAAATCTATGGGTTTTTCAGACCTTTGTGGAGTTCGGAACCGGGCCTGAGGGACTGTGCACCTGTGTATCTGTGTGGATTTGGTTCAGTGCACGTATTTATGTGCGTGTATGGTTTCATCTGCGTCGATGTGAGAATGTGTGCTCATGTGCTTTTCTGCTGGTGTCCGTGTGCGTTCTTGTGGGGCCGGGCTGTAGGTGAAACTTTGGGTGACATTTTGGAGAGGTGTCCTGGAGGCGGAGCTACACGGCCCTCTGTCCCGCTCAACCCCCTAACGGGAGCTGCCAGCCTTTCCCTCCGTGGCCCGTACTTAGCACAGTAGCACCTAGCCTCCCACTGCCGTTCACACTTGTCGTCCTCAGGCGGTGGGTGTGGGTTCCTGTCCTCCCCCAGCCTTCCCCCCATGGAGCCAGCCTGAGCAGGGTCCTGTAGTTGGGGAGAGGGTCTAACCCCTCTATCTGGAGCTCCCAGCTTGGGATATCTGTCCTGAGTCCCCAAGCACTCCTCCATCGGGCCACTTACCAGGCCTCGTGCCTCACCTCCCCCACAGCGCCCAGCTTTGAGGCCCTCTCAGGAGGGACCCAGCCTGGCCCAGGGTGTCTGGTCTTTACCCCCCTCTCTCCTCCCTCCCGGCCAGCCCTCTACAGCCACAAGCCTGAGGTGGCCCAGTACACCCACACGGGCCTGCTTCCGCAGACCATGCTCATCACCGACACCACCAACCTGAGTGCTCTGGCCAGCCTCACGCCCACCAAGCAGGTAAGGCCCAGGCCTGCCTGGCCCCTCGCTCGGGCCCCACCCCACAGTGCACCCATGGGGGGCTCAGGAGGCCGCTCTGTTCCCCCAGGTCTTCGCCTCAGACACGGAGGCCTCCAGTGAATCCGGGCTGCATACGCCGGCGTCTCAGACCACCACCATCCACATCCCCAGCCAGGACCCCGCCGGCATCCAGCCCCTGCAGCCCACCCACCGGCTCAGCGCCAGCCCCACCGGTGAGCCGCCTTTCCCTGCTCCCTCAGGTGGGGAGGAAGGTGTGTGCGGCAAACGGGAGGGTGCCCTGTGCTCCCCCGACGGGAGCCAAGAGGGGCGTGAAACCACAGGGAAGTGGGCCTGTCTTACAGGAATATCTCACTGACTCGGGACGGGGAAGAGATGAATTGCGAGAGACAGGGGAGGGTGACGGTGAGGAGCGATCTGATCTGGCCTTGCTTTGGGCCAGAGGTAGCTCGCAAGCGTGTTGGGTGGCTCAGGGTTTAGCATGGAGTTCATTGCCCACGTTTAAAGATGAGCTTTCACAAAGGAATCGTGATTTCTGGCTTTTCCTGGAGAATCGGAGACCCGTGTTCCCACGCAGCAACAACAGCGTGCGGGCTCTCTAGGTCAGCTACATCGCACTTGACCCATTCATTTCCATCCCCCGGTGCCCTGAGCCCGCAATCTACGATGTCAATGAAGGGCGGGCACCGGGGAGTCAGGCTGCTGGGCTCTGAGGCCGGGGGTGGCCACTCGCTAAGTGCGGGACTTGGGCAGCCGCTTCATCCCGTGAGCCTCAGGTTTCTCCCTCCAGCCCTGGTGGCTGCAGCGACAGGAACTGAGGGCTTCCTGCTCTACCCACGGGGCACGCGTCATCATCCCCGTTTTACAAATGGGAAAGCAGACGCCAAGGAGGTGAGGGACTTGGTCTTGCCTCCGACAGCTACTACCAGGTGGCAGGGCCAGGACTTGAACCCAGGTCCCAACTCAAAGCCCATTCTCTTAGCTGTCGGAATCAGTCAGGGTTCTCGTAAGACACAGAACCAACAGGAATACAGTAGATCCCTGAACAACATGGTGTTTGAACTGCACAGGTCCACTTACATGTGGATTTATTTCATTGTTTTTTTAAGTTACTTTTTTTTAAAGTTTATTTATTTTGAGAGAGAGAGAGAGAGAGAGAGGGAGAGAGAACGAGTGGGACTGGGGCAGAGATTGGGGGACAGAGAATCCAAAGTAGGCTCCTCGCGGACAGCAGGAAGCCCGATGTGGGGCTTGAACTCACAAATTGTGAGATCGTGACCTGAGCAAAAGTCAGAAGCTTAACTGACTGAGCTACCCAGGCGCCCCCACGTGGATTTTTTCCGACACAGCACAGGACTGTAAATGTATTTTCTTTTCCTTAGGATGTTCTTCTTTTTTAATATTTATTTATTTTTGAAAAAGGGACGGGAGAGAGAGAGAGAGAAGGAGGGAGAGAGAGAAGGAAAGAGAGAGAGAGAGAGATGGGTTAAGAGAGAAGAAGAGGGAGAGAATCCCAAGCAGGTTCCCAGCTGTGTGCGCAGAGCCCGACACGGGGCTTGAACTCACGAACCACAAGATCGTGACCTGAGCTGAAATCAAGAGTCGGCTACTTAACCGACGGAGCCACCCAGGCTCCCCTTCCTTATGACATTCATGATACTTTTTTCCCTCTAGTTTACCTTTTGTAAGAATACAGTGCCTAATACCTCTAACATACAAGATATGTGTCAATTGACTTGTTTATATTATTGGTCAACAGGCGATTAGTAGCTAAGTTTTGGGGGAGTCAAAAGTTACCTGCAGATTTGTGACTACGCAGGGGGTCAGCGCCCCTGACCCTCGCACTGTTTAAGGGTCAACGGTATAGATATATATTCAAGGAACTGGCTCACACGCCTGTGGGGCCGACCAGTCTGGCAGCAAAGGCAGGATGTGATCCTGCAATCTTGAGGTAGGATTCCTTCTTCTCTAGGAAGCCTCAGCTTTTGCTCTTAAGGCCTTTGACTGATTAGATGAGACCCACCTGTGTCAGCCAGAGAAATCTCCTTTACTTGAAGTCAACTGATCAGCGGTGTTAACCGCGTCTACTCAATACCCCCACTGCAACACTTCAGTGTTTGGTTTCATGACTGGGCCGCAGCCTAGCAACGCCGAAGCCTGAAAGTAACCACACCGCCCCACCAGGGCTTCTCCGATGTTCCTACTAAAACGTCCTGAGGTGGCCACCCCCCAGGTGGCCCCGGAGCCTGGCTGGGGGTTAATAAGACCCAAGGGTAGAGGCCTGGCTTTGGGGATCTGGTTATCTGCTGTAATTCAGGAGGTGGCGAGGCCCTGTGTGGCCTGTCCCAAGGGCCCCCAGGGATGGGTGGGCGAGGTGGGGTTGGGAAGGGCTTGGCAGACAGCCAGCTGTCTCACTTGCCCCTGCAGTGTCCTCCAGCAGCCTGGTGTTGTACCAGAGCTCCGACTCCAATGACGGCCACAGCCACCTGCTGCCATCCAACCACAGTGTCATCGAGACCTTCATTTCCACACAGATGGCTTCATCTTCCCAGTAACCACGGCAACCGCCCCCCAGGGGCTGGGCCCTGCCTGGAGCGTGCCCGGCGAACTTGGGGGGTGACTGGGACATGTGAGCCTGTGAAACTTCCACTGCCACAAGAGAGCGGCCTTCCCTGGAAAACTGCCACCCTGCTCTGTCAGCAACGGAAAGGAGGGTTTCAAGGCGCCCCGACCTCAGGAGGGCTGTTTCAGTGCACGAGAGGGGACTGTGGAGAGCTGGGAAGCAGAGCAAGACGCGAACGAGAGGGACTGTCCCTGCTGCTCAGGGTGAATCTTGCCACTTGGAACAGAAGGGGACAGCCTTTGGGCTTTGGTACCTCCAGCCTGTGCCTGTGGAGACCCCCGGGAACCCCCAAGGGAACCCTTGTACCCGCACTCCTCGGGACACAAGCCTGCGTAGCTGTGACTCACGGAGCTCAGTGAGAGGCCCAAGATCAACATGGCCCCGTCCTGTCACCTGTGCCCTGACCAGGCCCCTCTGCCCCGCCCCAGTTCCAGCTATTGACCCTGCTCCCCACTCACATAAGCATTCTCCGAGTGGCTACCCAGTGCCCGGGCTGGGGCTCAGATGCCCACGCCCCAGGAGGGCTCAGGCTAGCGGCCGAGGCATGCGGGGCTCTCCAGCTTCTCTCGTCCTCAGCCACCCCTCCCCTGGCCTCCAAGATGGCTGGTTCTCTCCGCCATTCATCCCCCCCACACCTTCTCACGCCAGCCCGGCATCTCGCCTCAATGGGAAAGCCCCCCTCGGGACTAGGAAGTCCGTCTTGCCCCACGGGAGCCTTGTGACTCTGCGCCTGGTGCCGCTGTTGAGATTCTGATAACAGCTCCTCTGGCCCGTGGGGCCCTGCAGCCCCTCCCTGGTCTGGGGGACAAGCTGCTGGGGTCAGAAGGCAGCAAGGCCTGAGCAGATGACAGAGCTGAGGTGCCCAGAGGGTGAGGGGAGAGACGAGACCGGCGGGGAGGAGCTCCCCGTGGGGACGGGGCTGATGCCTGGAAGCTTGGGAGCTCGGCCGGCTGAGGGATGTGGAGGCCAGGTGGTCACAGCCACACCCAGGAGCCTGAGGTCCTGAGTGCCACCAGGAGGAACACTGTCAGCCCGGGGCTCTATGACCTCCTCTCTAGGAAGGGGCTGCTGCAGACAACTTGGCCTTGAGGGCTGCTCCCACCCTGGACGGAGGAAAGGGCCGGGGCAGAACCAGCACCCCCGAGGCTTGCAGCCAGCCAAGAGCCAACCTGTACATTTATTTAACTTGTAGTAAAGGAAATGAGGATCGGAGTAGTGGAAACGCATACTGGAAACTTCTTGCTTGTCCACATGTTGCCCAGACGGGGCTGGGCAGGCAGAGGGAGGTGGTGGTGGGTCACACTCTCACGTCCTGCCTCTGTCTTTCTCGCTCTGCCAAACCTCAGAGTCAAGGCCACAAAGCCAGAATTCCACTTTAACCTTGAGCTTCTGCTCTTCCCCTGCAGAATGCTGCAGGTGTCTGAAAACCGGTCCACAAGTGCTGTGGTGCTTCTCGAAGTCTTGAGGCTGGGGTGCAGGAACGCAGCTTGGGGTGTAGACAGGACCCCACCTACGTGAGGTTTATTTAGCATGTCTCATCACGATTCGGCACGGACAGGGAAGGAGCACCCAGATCACTTTGTTAGGTCTGGGGTCATTTATTTTCAACAATCTGGTTGGCTCAGAGACACGATCGTGTGTGGCACATTCACAAATGTGGAGAAAGAAAATTCTGGCAGCCTAGGGGGGGAAAAAATCTCTCTCCTTCTTTTTATCAAGTCTGTGCAACCTGGAGGGAGAAGTACAAAACTCTTTCTTGGCCTTGTCATCTCAGGGGCCCCTTCCCTCGTTAAGGTGGTCTCCCACACCAGGTTGGGAAGGTGGAGAGGAAGGAAAAACTCTCCTGTCACTTACTCTCCTCAGACAGTGCTGGGAAGATGGAAGCTTTACCATGTGGCCTTCGGTCTTGAGTAACTGGAAGGCTCCTTTTTCCTGAGGCCATGGAATGTTCTGGCATCACAGGTCTGCCCCAGTTCCCAACGGGAGCACAGATGGGCAGGCCTTGATTAGGCTTCTCACCCTACAACCGTGTCTCTGTCCCAACCCTTGGGCGAGCCCCAATCATGGGCAGAGTCTGGACCTCTGTCCAGCCAAGTCCTTGAACTTGGAGGGAGGTGGGGCTTGGAAATGCCTCGTCCTCGGGCTAGTTGGGCCCCGTGCCTGTGGGGCTCCGATCAGTTGGCAGGCATGGCCACTGCCCTCTTTATTGGTGGGATTGGGGAAGCCTCGCTGGCCTTTGCTTTTTTCCTCCTTCTCTTCTTTTTGGTCCCAAGTGATGTCTGGTCTCCATTGAGCCTGGGTGAATGCTTTTCCTGCTTCCCTATGGTGGCCCCGCTTGTGGTGGTGGTGGCGGCCGGGGCGACCGAGTCGGCACCGGCCTCCTTCTTGGCTTTCTTTTTCAACTTCTTTTTCTTCTTCTTTGCCTCTTTCTCCACTTTGACAGGGCCGTGGATGGCAGATTCCTGGAGGATGTCGGAGGCTGACACGGCCGCCTCCCGGCACCGCTGCCACTCCTCGTCGCTGTCCTCGCTGCTACAAGGGGAGGGCACAGAGTGGGGACAGGGCCCCAGAGCCAGCAGGAAGAGGTCACGGCGGGGTCGGGGGGGGGGGGCGGTGCTAGAAAGCTCCAGCTTGGGAATGAGGCCGGCCTGGGTTCCAACATTGGCTTCTCCACTTCCCAGCTGTGTGATCTCATTAAGTGACTTAACCTCTCTGACCCTCAGTGTCTCCATCTATGAAATGGGTGCGTGGGTCTCACAGGGATGCCCCAGGAGTGAGGTGTCTGGCGCAAGGTGATGCTCAAAAAGCAGTAAAGATCCAAAGCGAACTCCCAACAGAACCCTCTTCCCTCTCCCACTGAGGGTACTACTTCTCGACCTCCCTGACACGGCTCCTTCTTGGCCTAGATCTGACCAGATTCTGCATGGCTATTCTGGGGGGCTGGCAAACACAGACGACGGGCAAAAAGGAGGGAACGTGAGGAGGGGGTGTGATACCTCACCTGGAGCCGGAAGGGAAGCGCTTTCGGCTGGGCTGGGGAGCAGCTTTCTTGTCAGAGTCTCCGGGGATGGATGTGAAGAAAAGGCGGAAGCCTAAAATCCAAAGGGGTCGATCGAGTCAGCACTGCCAGGGGCTGGCCCCTCCTCCCAGGTGCCAAGGCTGCCCCGCCTCTGCCCTCGAGGAGATCCAACAGATGTATGTTGAGAGGCACCGGGTGCCTCCTGGAGCCAGGGCCCGAGGTGCCAGAGGGGACGCGAGCTGCGCATTCAGAGCAGCAAGCCCTCAGAGGCTTCTGGAAGCCAGCGGTTGAGCCTTCTGCCTAAGGCAGCTTCCAAAGTGGCAGGTGGGTTGGGCGCGGGACAGACACTCAGCAGGGAGAGGCTGTGAAGTGCCGTGGTTAAGATGCCCCTGCTTGGGGTTAGACTGACAAAGGTGCTTCAGGCAAGTGACTTCGTTTCTCAGAGCCTCAGCTCCCATGACACCCTGCCCTGCAAATAGGGGTATCATCATCATACCCACCTCAGAGATCCCAGAACGTACCAAAATGTATTTCCCAGCTCCAGATACACATGAGGTGGGAGACAAGAGGTGGCCTTAATAGTAAAACCACTCACCATCATCCTCCGGGGGGACTTTCTGTATTTCAGTCTTTTTCGGCTCCTTCACTACTTCTGAGATGGTAATTGAGCTACGGAAGGAGGAAATGGTTAAGGATGAGATTTTAGGTAACAAAAAAATTTTTTTAAGTGGAGGGGACGGGGGCATGTGATGTTAAATGCAATGGCAGCAAGCACGCCGGCCTGATAAGAACGGTTAACGCCTACAGCCATAACATGCTGATCAGCCCCCGACAGCTGAAACTGCAGTGCCTCATTTGTTTGAACCCCACTTTATTCCAGGAAGTACTGAAGAAGTTTTAAAGATATACACAGTACCACAGAATGAATGCAATTTTGAATAGAGCAAAGAAAATAGGCCAGGAGGGACAGAAAGTGCTGGAGAGCAGGCACATGTTTTGCTTTGAGCATCCTGGCAGCAAGCATGAAAAGGGAAATAGGACTGACCGATCTAGAGAACTGGTTCAAGGTCAGCTGTCAGCTCGGACACAGTGTTTTTTGTTTTGTTTTGTTTTTTCTTTTTTTCTTTTTTTTTTAAGACAGAGAGATTTATTTTTTAATTTTTTTCATGTTTATTTATTTTTGAGAGAGAGACAAAGCACGAACAGGAGAGGGGCAGAGAGAGAGGGAGACACAGAATCTGAAGCAGGCTCCAGGCTCCTAGCTGTCAGCACAGAGCCCGACACGGGGCTTGAACCCATGAACCATGAGATCATGACCTGAGCCGAAGTCGGACACTCAACCGACTGAGCCACCCAGGCACCCCTCTAACACAGTGGTTTAATGTAGGTCTGCAGGGCACATTAAGCAATGTCTGGACACATTTTTGGTTGTCACAACTGGTGGTGGTGGCAGGGAATGCTATTAGGATCTGATAGGTAGAGGCCAGGGATGCTGCTTCCCGTTCTATAGTGAAACAGGAAGAGCCAGTCTAAAAGGTTAGTGGTGCCAAGGCCAAGAAGCCCTGATCTAACGCAAGAGACCAACTAGAGAACCATTTAAGTCTCCTTACAGAGAAACACAAAAACGCCGCAGGGAGTGTGCTGACTGCTGTTGACACGCATCCGGCTGGATTTCCACCTGCGGAAAAGTCTGATGTGGATCATCACAGTGCTGGGTTGGCCTTGTTCACCCTGAAGCCGAAGAGTCATGAAGAAAAACTGCACCCGTGTGTTGAAATGCCAACAGACCCTCCTACACGTTTACCACATTCTCGAGCTGGGGCACTGGTACTGAGACCGCGGTGGTTCAGGCTGCTAAGGTCTGGCCCACCACTCTATCTCAGAGCAGCTGGTTTACACTGTGATAGGACATGTTTGTCTTTTTCATGTTTCGGGACTAAGGCCTGAACATCCTCATCTCCCTTTCAAAATCTGGTAGGGCTCAGTCAATCAGGGATGGATCTAGGCCAGTGTCTCTTGAAATGTGTTCCTTGCTACACCGATTGGCCTTCCATGAAGCAAAGCCACTGTGGCCAGATGAGTTTGGAAACTGCTGGGCCAAGCAAAGTCACGCATGTCCCTTTACCGCAGATTCTCAGAGCCTTGACTACACGATTAGGAATCTAAATCTCCGGGGGGCACCTGGGTGGCTCAGCTGGTTAGGTGTCTGACACTTGATCTCGGCTCAGGTCATGATCTCATGGTTTGTGAGTTCGAGCCCTGCGTAGGGCTCTGTGCTGACAGAGTGGAGCCTGCCTGAGATTCTCTCTCTCCCCTTCTCTCTGCCCCTCCCCAACTTGTGCTCTCTCTCAAAATAAATAAATAAAGGTAAAAAAATATCAGCTCTGCTCCCTCCTCCCTATGGCTTTGAGCAAACACTCCTTCTCCCAGAGAACCTGTTTCCTCACCGGCAGACGAGGACAACGACAGGACCTACGTGGCAGATTGTGCATGCCGTGAGGTGACACAGCATGTGCTCCCCGCAGCGCCTGCTTGCACACCCCAAGCTCCCCACCGACGTGGGCCGCTACTGTTCGTATTAACGGAAGCAGGGGAAGAGAAGGAACATTTTTGGTTACCTGTCCAGGAGGGCTCCCAGTTTCTTGGCTACGTGGGCTCGGAATTCAGGGGTGGTCTGAAGCTCATTGCCATCTTGTTCATGTTCGTCCGCTTTCCGCCTGCAACGCACACGAAAGGACCTCACTTCCCGCCAGCTCAGAGGCTGCTCCCCACCCCCCACCCACGAGGGCAGGGACGACATGTGTCTCATTCACCCTGATAGGCCAGGGTCTATCCTTGCATCTGGCACACAGTAGGGGATAAATATTTGTTTAGAGAATGGATTAAACTTGGACCCAAAGCACACAGTACCTGAGGCTTGGCTGGCTGGCTGGCAACTGATTATTTGCGGCATCTGTGGAAATAACGAAAATTGAGGCATTTATAGAGGAAATGACAGGAACAGTATCTGTTGTGCGTCAGAGGTGATTTTAAGTGATTTACACGTATAACTCATTGAATATTGCCAACAACCCTGTTAAGGGAGTTATTATTCCCATTTTGCAGAAGAGGAAACTGAGACGAGGAGATAAGATAACTTGGCCAGAGTCACACGGCTAATAACCGAGAGGGTTGGGGCCAGACCCAAGTCATCTGGCTCCAGAGCCCCCTCTTAACCACCATGCTGAACAAGAAAGTATATTTGATTCCAGTATTTATTGAGCACCTACTATGTGCCTGGCTCTGTGCTAAGTGCTGTGGGGGACAGAGAATCCATTATGTAGATCACATTTTTTTCAAGCTGAGACTGGAAATGGCTGGCCTGGTGATCATTCACTCAACTGAATACTGAAGCTCTAACATTACCCAGGTGGTGTTCTAGGTGCTGAACAGTTTAGACATAGATGCCAGTCCTCACGGAGCTTACATGCTGGTTGGTGGATACGGAGGACTAAAACACACAATTAAAATATAAAATTAGATCATGATAAATACAGAGGGGAAATAAACACAGCAGGAGAGAGAAGTGGTGAGGGCCAGGTGGGGGATCATTTTATAAAGGCAGGTAGGGAGGACTTCACATATAGGTGACAGGTGAATGGATTTCAGAGAGGCAAGGGAGTGAGTCAAGTGGACATCTGGGGAAGAGTCTTCCAGAAAGAGGGAAGAGCACCTACAGAGGCCCCAAGGCAGGAGCCTGCCTGGTGCATCTGAGAACCAGCAAGGAAGCCGGGGTGGCTGCGGCCCAGTGAGTTAGGGGAGCAGCAG